TCCGATAACTCATGTAGCTTATTCAAGTTTTTCTCTTTTTTATCCTTGAGTTGACCTAAATCTTTTCTAAATTGTGCAATTTCGTTTTCAGCTTTATCACGCCAGAATTCTGCATGCTAGAATGGTATGTTTTAAAGAGTACCTCTTAAAATTGTGTATTATTGTAATAAATTAAAAACTGAAAAGCATTTAATCGTATGCTAACTATTTCGTTCAGTGTTTCATCCAGTGGAACAATATTATTTACTGAACGAAAGTCTAAACGTAATAAGTGTTGCATAATCCTATCAAAGGTAAGTCCCTGTATTTTACACCCTGCTTACATTGGACTAATGAAAAGCATTCACTTTAGATCAGGTTCATTTATCGTTCTAAAATCCTGCAGTTCATGAAAAGATGTTGAGAATTTAAGCATATCTGGAGAGCCAAAACCAACAGTAATTATTTTCCCGAATCAGTAATAACTTAAACAATTTGGCAACAGTAGAAATAACTATTCGAATTCGTTCAGTAGTATAATCTATATTTATGTCCATTGATACAGTATTTGATAGACTTCATCTCACTGAAATCAGAAAATCAACTATTTGGCGCCGAAATTCCTATGAACGTGAGGTTTTTATGTAATTTTGTTTTGTCTACTTTCGAAGATGCACTAGGTCCAAGATTTGTCCTTTCTTCATCTAAATTCGATATTGTTTGAGTTAATTCGATTAAAACAAACTCATACATATTTTGGTGGTTCCTTTACTGCTTTCTTTCTCATGTAAGCAGATAAACAGCGGATAACAAGAGCAGCATTTCAAAATCCTTCACAGATCTCCCATGAAACAAATCATCACATATCTGAGCAGCTCAGAAACAATCTCATAATATTTATCAACAGTGAGTTTACAGGTAATACATGACACTGAACTGGTGACTTGGTGGTAAAACAATCTTCAGCCTAATATTCAGACAATTTTAAGTTAAACACTGTCAATGAGCATCTAAAGTATACCACAAGGCTCAATGAAGTGAAGTTGACAGTTTTACTCAAAACTGCAAATTTTCTTGATGTCATTTCTGCAGTTATTTTGTGATAATCTCATCACGAAACTGAGTTTATTTGTCTGTCTGATGAGTTTTTTTCCGTATTTTCACACCTTATATTGTAAAGTAGTTTTAAAGTTTTTACTGAATATGTTTTATCTAGCAGGATTCTATAACCATGGACCTTATGCAAATATTTCACAGAATAAGTCAAGAGGGTTACTGAGTTTTTGAATATAAAATCAGGGAGAAATGGCAATTGGAAATATTTTTTTATTCAGACAGAGGAAAGGCAAATACAATCACGCTTCTGAAGCTTCATATTTTAATGATAGTTTTTCAAGTTTCATAATTCTGATTTTGGTTTATTAAATCACTATTACAAAAAATTTGTTTCAGATGCACTTATGACATAAAATCAAACCTGATGACCACATTTACAGGTAAATGTTTATTGAAGTAATATGACATCTGACCGACTCCTTGTGCTGAGCTTAGAAGACTCTGTTTTACTGTATAGTCAGTCAATAAAAGATATCAATAAAATACACATACTTCAGCTTTTGCAACGACATCTTACTCAATAAAATATTTTACACTTTTGAAGGGTAAACACACTTCTAATCTTTTAATCCTAAAGTTAAACTGGTCATGATACTCAGACACTTCGAAAAGAAGTTGAAATATAAGGCGATAACTTATTTGATAGTGTGTATGTATATTATCTTAATTGGATAGGTCCCAAACCTCCAAAGTTGGATACCACTAAAAGAAAACAACACCTGTTTTTATTGCAATAATGAGTAAAGAGTGCACATATGATGTCTCAGGCAAAATATCAAAAAGCTTGAAAAATCTTTACGCATGATGATTATTCAAAATATTTAGGTAGAACTTTACAGACCACTTTCACCTCCAAGAGAAAAATAATATTTTAATCAGCACTTAAGCCAAGAATTACATTACCACTTAGGTGAATTTAACAAGTTATCAATTTACAAAGTATTTTCTTCTACTGAAAACCTACTTGTCAGAGAGTGTAAACAAACTGAACATTTGTTATACATATAAGGCTACCGTCTATCTCGATATTCGACATTAACTGAAGAACGACTAGGTTAGGAGCAGATTAACAGGGACTGAACCAAGGTAGAATAACATTCCATGAAGTCTCCGAATGTTACTTTAAGTAGCATAGCTGAAACTCGACTAATCACCATCAACATTATCAACATAGGACCAGGCATTACTGCGTAACGGTCCGAGTTGCCACACCTCATATCAGTTCATCAAGTAAAAAGGTAGTGAGGTGAAGGATGAAGATAAGTGAATGCAGTCAAAAGAAATATAAAGTACGAGAAGAAAGGAAAGAGGAGTGACAAAATGGTGAGATTCGGTATAGCGTTGTTAAGATGAGGATAATGTGTGTATACATCTGCGCCACTGACTTCGGTTCTGAGCCATATCACCTAGGGTCTCCAACCACTGGTTCCTCTTGTCCCGTGGACCCCAACCACCTAGTCTGCATCGTCCTACATGGCTTAAACCAACAGTCAGAGACTTCATACATTGGTGCCATGTTTTAGTCTGGCCACCTCGGGCCTTTTTCCAGCCTGGACCCACCTCAGCCAACATTGTGTGACGAGGCAATCGGTGACTAGGCATACGTAGTACGTGTCCCAACCATCTCAGTCGATGAAGGTTCACAACCTCGTCGACTGACTTACCTCTTCTCCCTAAAACTCTACACCTAACTTCTGCATTACTCACATGGTGACACCACGGAATACGTCCTATACTACGAAGGCAACGGTGGTCAAACACCTGAAGCCTTTTTGTATTCTCCATTTTCAATGGCCATGTTTCACAGCCATACAGTAGAACAGAGCGGACTGCTGTGCAGTACACGCGACCCTTAATAGACAAACGAATATCACGGCGGCGCCATAGGTGGCGCAAATTGGCAAAAGCCAATCGAGCCTTTTGTATCCGTGCAGAAATCTCATCGGCAACTAACCCACCGGGTTGATCCTACTTCCCAGGTAAGTGAAGTGGTCAACACACTCAACCACTTCACTCTCTATTGTTAACCGCGGTACCGCTGAAGACCAGTCCTGGAGCAAAAATTTGCATTTGGGTGGTGAAAATCGCATCCCAAACATTCTCAAATTCCCACTCAAAGTGTTCAGAAGACTCTGCATCTTGTCAGCGTCTTCACCTATCAGGACTATGTCATCTGCATATTCTAGATCTAAAGAAAATTCACCTATGATTGGGTCAACGTCTGTGTAATTAGGTGACGAGAGGGAAACCTCCATAAGAATATCTATGATAAAATTAAATAAGAATGGAGATAGTGGGCATCCTTGACGGACACCACTCGATGAGTATAGCTCCCTGGACAACTCACCATAGGCTCTAACATGCCCACAAGTGTTCGAGTAGAGAGCTTTCAATAAGGTGATGTACTTACTAGGCACGCCTTTCAGTGACAGACATTGCCATAAGACGGAGTCGAATGCCGCCTTCAGGTCGAGAAATACAGCTATTGTCGGGCGTCTGTAAGCATGCCTATGTTCCAGGACCTGGCGCAGTGTGAATATTTGGTCGATACATCCACGGCCAGGTCTAAAGCCTGCCTGGTTTTCTCGGGCTTGCTGTTCCCGAGCTCCACTCAGGCGTCGGAGAATTATAGAACTTAGGATCTTAGACACTATGTTCGTCAGGCTGATTCCTCTGTGGTTATCACAAGAGGACTTCTCGCCTTTCTTGAAGACTGGGATGATGAGTGACTTAGACCAGTCGGAGGGGATCGTATTTGATTCCCATATACTGGCTAACACTTCCGTTAACCTGACTAAGAGCACTCTACCACCATTCTTGTATACCTCAGGAGTTAGTCCGTCTGGTCCCTCTGCCCTTTCTCGTTTCAGGTTACCTACCGCTTTCTCGACTTCTTCTAGTGTTGGGGGGCCTATCCCAGTGTTCCATTCAGGATCCGACTGGATAGCGGGCAGCGCAATGGTGGCTGGAGGCCAGTTAAACTGTTCCTCGAAGTGTTCTGCCCATCGTTCCAGTCGCCTCCCCTGCGAGTGAATCGCAGATCCGTCCTTCTCCGCTATAGCCTCACTAACTGTTGTTGACCATTTCCCCCCAGTCTCCTTAATAAGTCTAAATAACTGTCTACTGTTACCGATCGCCGCTGCCTTTTCCATCTCTTTAGCCTTTGCTGCCCACCACTGTTCACGATCGTTGCGCAGACTTTTCGTCAGTCTATTTTTAAGTTGCGCTCGCTCTTCATTGTACTCAGAGCCTGCAGGGATGCATTCACGTGCATCCATTAGTTTGGAAGAAGCTGCTGATATCCACTGGCTCTTTTTAGCCATTATCTTGGAGTCGGCTACAGTCTCCAGTGCTGCTTTTACAGTAGACTGAAGATGGCACCAAGCTTCTTCTGGATGAGTGACAGTCTTTTGTTCCGATAACTGCCTAGCCAACTTCTCACTGAACACGGCTTTGGTGTTTTCGTTGTCCAGCAGAACTCGTAGTGGTTTTGTTGCCAAATTTTTTCTACGTCCATTGAGACGCAGGCATATACGTGCTCGGACCAACGCATGATCGCTGTCCAAACACGTACTCCAGAAGGAGCGGCAGTCTTCCACCGATCCTCTCCAGCGATGACTAATAGCAATGTGGTCTATCTGTGTCCATCGCTGAGTCGAGCTCGGTGGACGCCAGGTCAGACAGTGCCTTTCTTTATGTCTGAAATTTGTGCTGGCTAAAAATAGGCGGTTATCTGAGCATAGTTGTAATAGGCGATCACCGTTATCTGTACGTTCAGCTGGGATTCCGAAAGTGCCACCTAAGTGCCTTTCTGCCTCACTCAGTCTACCCACCTGTGCGTTGAGGTCACCTGCAACAACCACTACGTCCGAACGTTTGGCTTTCGAGAGGAGGTTAGACAGTTTATGGTAGAACTCGTCCTTCACTTCATCCGAACTACAGTCAGTGGGTGCGTAAGCAGAGATTACAAAGAGACAACGGCGAGTCTCACTATTCCTTTTAGTTCTCACTGTGCCGTTCAGCCTCATAGCGCAGAGGCGACTATCAACTGGGATCCAGTCTAGTAGTGAGTTTTCTGCCCTGGTGCTTAATGCTATACCTACACCTGCAAGACCACGAGAGCTAGCTATCGAATCTCCAGAAACTCGAAGGGTGAATTTTGCAGATTCACCAGATTGGTCAGGAGAGGTCAGGTGAATAACCACACTTGGGTCCTGTATGCGTGTCTCACAAACACAGCACACATCCATGCCCGAGTTGCTAGAGTCTTTGCCAACGAAGCCTGTTGGCCAATTTGACGGAGGGTGCGGACATTGAAGGCTCCAATATGTAATTTGGAGCGTGGTTTAAGGAGACCAGGGATGCTGTTCTGTGGACTCAGATCGTTGTCGAAGGCTGCAGAGGTAGGAGAAATTGAAGATGATGCAGCATCATTAATTAAGAGACGTGAAGGAAGATTAGAAGGTAATGATGGAGGAGGAGGATAGCAGTCAGAAGAAACTTGGGTGCTGACAGAGTTGTGAGGGCGGTTGACACTTCCCGGCTGCCCACACCGTGGAAGGCTATTTCTTCTTAAGGTACCTGAAAGAGATTTGTGTGACCGCAGAGCCCATCGGACATCTGCTTGAGGCCTGTCACACCCAGCCTTTTGAGTATGATTATTTTGAATTTTTGTATTTTTGGGGCCGGATGGGCGAAAGGAAACGACAAGTGAACCAACACCGCCGGCCCGGCAGACCGTGGGGCGTGGTGGAGTGTGTTATTTTTGGGGCCGACCTTTTCTAACCCCCCCTTCCACTGAGAAGGCAGCATCAGCTTGGCACTGCTGGTCATCCAAGGGAAACACCTTACTGCTGTCACACCCCATCCAGCTAGCAGCAGTACGACTTCGCCCTCAGACCCCCATCATAGTGTAGCAATTTACACTATAACGGTAACTGCTTTTCGTCTAACCACTACCCAACAGACCTTTCTGGTATGGTAGGACCTCGAGGGAACAAGCGTTCCACCAGCATAGCTCGTTGGGTCATTGTGATATGCAAGCCCGACCACCACGTCAAGGTAGCAGCTATCGGTCGGGTGAAACTCGACTACTTGGTTGATGTTACAAATAAGTGGTCGTAGACTATATTGACAGAGATCAGAATCAACAACTTTGATGCAGATACTATTTAAGAATTTTGTTTGATATGTATTTTATTAGAGGTTCTGGTTATTCATTTATTTCATGTCGTTTCATGTGTTTCTTGCTTACTTTAACATCACCCTACTTCTGCTGATTTAGTTTTTACAGGTGTTTTGTATTCTGATAACTTGATAGAGTGTACTTAGGTGGCAGCTTCTGCACTGTTTGTACCAACTTAACTTTTTAGTTACTACTAATAAAATAGACTACAGTTTAAGCTCACTTAAGAAACGTGCTTGCAAGTACAAATATTAAGGAATGCAGTCATTTTCCTAGAAGTCCATTTTGTCATAAACGGTAATGTTCACAGTGCTTAATAGTCAGTTTACAGTAGAAAAAGATTATTTGAGTTCACCTTAATGGTTATCTTTTGGAATACATTTAACGACACGTACTTTGATGCGGTCGTTATTTATCTTTCCAGAATGGATGTTCACTCATCTCCTTTTTCTATTGTCTCTAACTGACCCAAGAGCCAAATTACCACCACAAATAGCAGTTGGAGCAGTTTAGTCGAATTCATAACAGTTAGAGCAACTTTCTTTTTGTAATATGGAATATTTAGAACATCTATGAGTCATAGACTAAGATTCAATGCAGAGGCTGGTAGCAATCCTCTGGATAATATTTCTGCTCTTTTCATTATCCCATTAGAATGATAGCATTTCCTACTCATGATATTACAAGAAAACCTCGTGATATATATTATAAGTGGCGTGATAAATACCTTTTTTAAATAAGATAGACGTTCATTTAAATAAGAGGTAACTTCTGCATGAACTCTTTCTTCTTTACTGCCACTGGATAGAGTGAAGTCAATCTGATTTTTGACTTCATTTTCTTTCTGATCACATTGACACTGAAATTCTTCTAATTTCACGGTAGACGAACGTGTTGTATACTTTTCTTCCATAATTATTTTAGCTTTCATTTCCTATTAAAATTTGAAGCATAAATGTGAAGTGCAAGACAGTTATTAGAAGGCAGCTAATCAAAAACTATTTTATTTATCACCTCGGATTTGTAAAGCTTCTTAACCGCTTCCTAGGAATGAGTATTCTTCATAGGATTTGAACTTTAGTACTCATTGTTATGATCACTGAATTATTGTGAACTAAACCAAGGACCTTAAAGATGTGAACATGAATTGACCACCAGGTGTTAACCGATGTAGCTATCACGTTCGAGGCCACTGTCAGAATCTGTCAATTAAGTTTGAGATGTTTCAGCTAAACTAAATGACACGAGGCTGTCGTACACTTCGCTTAACTTAAGATGTTTGAAGCTATTTAGTGAAGAACTATGAGCATTAATGTCCAACCTGTTAATATTCATCAGAAAGATGTATCGTTAACCTCTATGAAGCTAATGTTCCACGTAATACTTGCATCGCTCATAGAACGGTGCAAAACCTTTACGATCAAGCTATTTAGGTCATAAATACGCTTTCGTACGAACTGGTTATGTAAACAAAATATGAAACTTATTACCAGTAAAACTTGTGCACTGTGGTAGAATGTAATTCCACTTTGATTGATTCATTAGATTTATCACACAGTGTAATAGTGTTGTTTACTGGATTACTTTTCGGACATAGTTTACTGTTCATAGTCGTATCAACAAGGGGTATCTGCAGCCTCGAGGGAAGTGATGTCCTGCCTGAGATTCGAACCCACATCACCCAGTGTTGCAGTGACAGATATTGCCACTCAACTATTTGGCCACGATTCACCTACTGTAGGGTTGGATTAGGCCCACTGGTCGCTGGAGCTGCAGCGATTTCGTGTTGCCTGATCCTGAGTGCGGACGGAATTCTGGTGATCAACTGTGGCACCGAGTGACGTGGTGGGACATCGGTTCTCGTGAGGTTGCGGAAACGCCTTGGTGAAGATTGACAAAAAGCGTGAAACCTAGGTCCAGGGCTTTCTGTTGGTCGCCTACGACCAGCCAACATGCACCAAAAGTGAACGTCAATCGTGAGCCTCCTAGCTTGAGACCACGCTGAAAAATGATCAGTAGAATTCGGTCAGCGCTCAGGACTGAAAAATTGGTTGCTCTCTAGTAACCAATCAATTGATAATTTCACATTACTATAGGTAGGTGGTTCACAAAATTTGACCACCAAAAATGACTTGAGGCAGCCGTCTGAAGAGTATACTGGATGACAAAAGTCAACACTGTAGGGAAACGAAATTAACGTACTCTTGTAAGCTCTCACAGCATTTGAACAGTAGGATCACATTCAGCTAGTAATACCAACGTACATGTACGTATGGTCACACATATGTAGTGAAAAGATGTCCAACTATGTGAGTTAGAGGTATCGAGTGAATTTCAAAATCACTGAGATAACAAATCAAATAGAAAGGTCCAATTCACCTAGGTGGTAGGGGTCTAGATTCTTTTATGGAAAAACGTATCACTAAAACAGGTCACAAGATTGATTCATATATATCTTTCAAACTTATTTACAAATCTGTTGGGGACATAAACTTTGGTTGGTTAAAACTTCAAACATTAGGAACTTTAAGCCTCTCTTGTTTATTCAAACCCAATTCGCCATTATATCAGACCAAACTTAGTAACTAAGCTTTCATATCAAAGGTGACTGACGTATTATCGTTCTCTTTGCATCGATGATTTGACCTCTGCATTAATAATATGACCCTTAAATAAACTGATAATTTTTTTTAAATCCTCTGTTACATTTCATATGAATATACATGAGAAGTACGTATAAAACCAAATTGTTCGAAATATATTGCATCAATAGGCAACACGTTACAAGCAATATGCCTAATTTTATTACTTTGTCGAAGTTTGTAAATTATTATTTTTTCCATTGGGTTCCTAGTGGAACATGGGGCTTGAGTAGCACGTCTTTATTTCACTCTCTTCTCCGCAGTTTGTAAAAGGGTATAAATATTTCAAACATATTCACTTTTAACTCATTCTATTAAAGCAACTACTGAAAATCCAAAATTAAATTTTTCAAATGAGCTGAACAAAAAATTTAATTATAAGAAATTATGGGATGCACCTGAACTTGGTCTTTTAAGTGAGAAACAGTTTCCCTGCCTTGTTCTATGATTTTCAAACCTTCTTCATTTTTCTCTTCAATCTTCTTTTTCACTTCCTTTATTTTCTCACGCGCTTTTTGTTCCCTTTTGTAAACAGATCAAATATTTTATTCAAAAGAGCTCGGTTTAAGAATTACAGTTGGACTGTCATTAAAAATTGAAAATCTGTATAAAATCAACACAAAGCTTTGGTAAGTAATTTAATGATTAACAGTCATCCCTTCAGAAATTTTTGCAGTCACAAAACTTCATGGCTGAAAGGAAGTTAAATGCCTCTGAGCGTAAGTTTTCGACTTCAGTTGGTAGATAACCAAATATATAACACAGTAGCCCACCATTTATGCTTACCAGAATTGTGGTTTTCTCACAAACGTCACTGATAATTTTCTGTTACTTTATAGGTAAATAACAGTTTGAAGCATTATAATTGAATTTATCTAATCTAGGTGGGTCAGGATACTCATTTTTTTGTTTTAAAATCTCAGTGAACAGCTGTTGAAAGATGAAAAGTAGACGGTATTCAACCTTATTTTCGAGCATTCATTAAATTCACGACAATTATTATTAATATTTGTCCTTTGGGTTCCCAGTGGAACATAGGGCTTCAGTAGCATGTCTACGTTGCACTCTGTTGTCTGCAGTCTTTTCAGTCTGCCTCCACGACTGCCCAGAAGCTCTCATTTCTTCCTCGCACAATCTTCTCCATGTCACCTTCGAACGCCCAACTTGTCGTAATAGATAATAATAACGAATCTGATAGTTGTTCAAAAAACATGAGGTTAATAAATTTACGTGGTACCGAAGCACTAGTAATCTACAAATTCAAACCCCAACTATGCGTTTGAAGGAAACACGCAGAGTCACTTACGCAATCATGGTCTTGCAATTGTCTCATTGTAATTTTAGCTTTCTTATCTACCTTATTCCTTCTAAGAAGTCCTATACTAGGACAAAACAGCTCTCCGGTGTTCCCAGGTTTCCAATGTTCCTCCAACTGATGTCAGTCCATGGTGAATCCCAAACTGAAGTCAATTAATAAGTCTCCACAAACCTCCAGATTGTATTATTCAACAGCTTGATTTTATCCTTGACGAGAAGACTTAGCAGAGTAGCTAGTGTTACATGGTAGCTGGGTTTAATCCATCCTGATCGTAGTGAAATTAATTTCCAGTCAGTATCTGGGTATCGTAGCTCAGTTGGTAGAACAGCGAGTCGGTAACTCGGAGGACGCTAGTTCTTATCCTTTCGCAACTCAGATTTTCATTTTAACTACAGTCACCAACCTGTTTCAACAAAGGATAATTATCTTCGTTGTAACCATTTCGTCATTTTAAAGAGGATGTGTCTTAATCAAGCTAAGCGCTCTCTTGTGAACGATAACCACAGCTAATTGTTCTTAACAAGATAATTATCCAACAATCCACTAAGTTACGATGTTCATAGCTCCAAACAGTGTGTGAACTATCAAAGAATCACTTACTAGTTGTTTTATAAATCAGTTACCACAGCATACTTAATCCTATCGCTTTGTGAAGCACCAGATTATCTCGATGTAACACAGATTTGTATTGTCGGTGTATGGATGATACACTTCTAGTCTATAGTAAACACAATTCTATTAATTTGATCATCAACCACTTCAATAACGCTCATACAGCGGTTCATTTTACAAATGAATGCGAAAGTAACAATTGTCTTCATTTCCTTGATACCCTAATGACAGGAAAAGAATATGGTTTCTTGAAACGAAGTGTACATAGGAAGGCGACCAAAACACAGTATATACACTTTCTCACTTTTGTATCAATGAAGTACAAACAAAATATTATTAGGTGTTTAGCTTTTGGTGGAAGATCGACCTGCTCCAAGGAACGTGTCGAGAAAGAATTATAGGTCCCTCAGGATATTTTAAGGGAAACGAATATCTTGAATAGTTTATAAAAGCAAACATCAGTCATAATACTCAGAAACATGAACTGACAAGCCTGAAGAAAAAACCTTTGTTTCTGAGTGTGCAACTCAAAGGGGACAGCCAGAGTGAAATTTTGTCATAACATCTATCCAGAGCAATAAATAGAATGTTTTACTCAGGACGTATGTGCCTATCCTTTAATAGCCAAGCACTGTTCAATCTGAGACTTAAAAACATTTTACCTAATTTGAGTTCATCAAGCATTTGCCAATTAAACAGTTCCTGTGGAACAAGTTATAAAGGGGAGAGTACTAGACACATACGTCTCAGGATACGAGAACATCTACTGGCATAGTTTGCAAAGGGTGAGATCAAATTCATTAGAAGTTCTATACTAGCACACCTAACAGATACAGGACAAGAAACAGATGCTAGCACAGCTTTACTATGATACATCGCCTTTCTAAGGCTCTACCATCTCCCATTCGTTAACGTATTTTCCATGTAGCGGAAGCTATACCTATAAGATCAACTTAGCCTGTATTCAAAAAGAACAGGTCCAAGTGCTACTCATTCCTTGGCCTTCCTTCCATTAACTAAACGATATTCCCTCAACCCTTTTGTTTCCTTTTTAACCCTTTTTCTCTTTTCTTTGCTTCTGCTTTCTTTCCCACACAAAATTGCTGTTATTATTATTATTGCTTTCCTACTGTCTTATTATAATAAACCTTGAAAATTCCTGTTAACACCCCCCGCTCATTATTACTACCCTTACTGTCCTTTCACACATTAACTATCTTATGATGTATCCACTACATTTCTACCCCTATGTCATTCGTCGTATTAATAACTCACTTGACACAATGTAACCTTGGAATTTACTATTAATTTTCCTTCCCCACACGTCTGATCACCAATCAATTGATAAAGTTTACACTGAACTTATTACCACGACTGATGCACATAAGTAACATTACCATCCATTCTAAAATACATTCGATGCAAAATGTTTAGCTATTAGAATGTTAACAAAATTGATTTTATAACACTGTAGAATCTGATGAAAAGTTATCGAAAAGAATACTCTTCGTTCACACATTTAGCCTTAACAGTATATAAACCACAATTTAGTTATTTTTTCCATCTTAAAATATATTGATAGGGAATTTTACTGAATGTAGACAATAAATTGTACCCTCAGCTTTATTAAAACAATACTGTTGTACTGCGTAATGCATCTAATAAATAAACTGAAATGGAATTGCAGACTAATACAGGAACAAAGTTTGATTCCTATATCAGCGTAGCTACTTATTTATTTATATCAAATGAAATTTGTGTATCAAGTGTGAAATCAGGTGGATGAACTGCTTTAGACTATACTGCGATGTATTTTACATGTTGAATGTATGAAGTTGTTCGCTGGGAATCACTTACTTATTCAGATAATTGTTTGATTTAAATCTCCAAAATATATTTCTACAGCCTTTCACTAAGTTCATGCTCTAGCAGATACATGTGTGTCACTAAATAATATAGTCAAAAACTCTACTGATAAGCTATTTTTTACTACAGACCCACTGTGGTCACTTCGCAAGCTTAACTGATAGAATTCAATTAGTACTAGTGGTTTAAAGCTAGGAAAATGTTGCAAACATACAATTAAATAAGCATTTGTATGTGGATGGTGCATAAAACGTGTAACTAGTTATAACTTATAGTTTAAAGATGTGATAATCCCCTGATCAGTGATCAATATATGAAAGTGAAACAACACATTCCATATGAAGTTTTTTAGTTCAGTAAAACTCAAGAAAAATGCTGAATAGTAAATAACCGTTGTTTCCACAGATTGTAAATTCACTAGGTTATCTTATAGGTACAACCATGCGCAATCCTGAAAAGTATAACGAAGATGAGTATATAGTCTTTCATGTAATTTTTAACCTTCCAACTTCAGTAGCCTTTTTCAAACATATCTTGCACAATGCATTCACATATCAATGTATAAAGCTATGTCATATTTCCCCGTCTACCATTTCATATCCTATTTTAATGTTTCTTTATTTTAGTCAGATACAAAGCTTTAACTAAGAGCCTCTTGAGATGCTGTAAAAAGAAAAGTTTATTTTTTGCACACTTACCAAAAGTAAATTAATCAAAATTAAACCAAAAATCTGTGGTGTTGTTCGAATCTTTTACGTTGTATCATGGCCTTCAAGATGGTTGGTACCATCAGTAACTATAGGTCAATTTAAAGTCACTGTTATATATTTACATATAAGTAACACTATTCAAGTTTGATAATTTTCAAAAATTAGCCTTTTATGGTGAGAAATTACAGTTTGGAGTTGAATTGATTGATTACCTACATTCTGAAGATTTTAGACTATGAAGAGTAAAATATGTTTTGATAGCTTTTATCACGGATTGCCGTCAGCTGAAAAACCCCGAAAACATAGGATCACTTAGGTTGCTTCGTGGTACTTTTCAGTTATTCAGCAGTGGACACCGACAACCCCGTGATGGATAGAGTCCGGGATTTTGAGGCTTCAGTACAAACACATAAGCATTAAATCCCTGAGTTGGAATCTAGTCCTTCATATTTTTACACTTTTGTTAACTTGCAATATTGTGGGCACACTAAACAATGCTATCAATCAGTATTTATACTCACGACCAATACAGGTGGCTTAAAATATCACAGCTTGTCATTCTGAACCTCGGGAAGTCTATCTGAAAGCAAACTTAGTGAGAAGTGGATGAACACGAGTTTGGAATTTAGCTTCAGAATGTTGCACAATCTCACTAGCAAAAACATCTTAGTGAGGTAGGAAAACAAACTCTTAGATTATCATAATTAATTAATTAGATAAAACAGAATTTGCAATATACTACAATGGATACAAACCTATGACATCGTGATGCCTAATTATTACTGTTTCAAAACTTGTTGTATCTCACTGAAATGTTATAAACTTGCGAAGGCAAATAAACAGGCGTATTTCTTAAACGACCATGTTTACAGATAGACAACTTAATGAGTGTAACACATTCCGCAGAAGTGCGTCATTTTAAGTTGTCACACTTAATAACAGTACACGAAGAGGAAGTGAACGGATATCACTGAAGTCTGTAAAAGTGGGTATAAACATATCAACTCATGTAAACATTTGGCAGAAGTTATTTTATCAGATAACCAGCATCCTTTTCACTCAAAGCTCTCTGCATGTTGGTCATATGGAAAGACCAGGAGAAAGTACATAGGACTTTATGCACGTATCACTCAATATAAAAACTCTACAGTACCGTATTTAGCTGGTATCCTGTGAGACAGGAAAAGTGTTAGAAGTGAACTAACTGAGCAGCTTTTGTTTTTGAAAGTAAACTAATTAGTGAGTACATAGCTTGTTATTATTTATGTATTATGAATCTAATTGTGAATGTGATTGTCTACCTAAGTTAACTTTGCATTTTCAAAAAAGTTGTAGATGGAGTAAATATTATCTTTTGTATATAATTTATACTAACTTCATTTTATTATGTATACATATACGCTGTTTCTGTTCAATTGATGCTATGTGACATGCTGAAAATTCTATAGAGTATTCCCGAAGTACCTTTCAGAATGAAGCTATTATTATTATTATTATTACTGTTATTACTATTTAGAAAGGATAAATGAATAACTGTTATTGAAAGGTTTAGAATTTCGATAACAATGTCTACAACCTACCTTGCTAATATGTGTTCTATTTCTTTGAATTCAGATTCTTCTTCGTCTAATGACTGTTGTAATGTTTCACAAAACCCTATTTGCTTTATTTCTTTTGCCAGTTTCTCGAGTACAAAAATCAGATAAAAACTAAACGTTACAAAATATATGAATTATTACATTTCTTTCAGTAATTTTTCTGAGTATTTTATGGATGAAAATGAATCTTCAATAATCATTGCAGTCGATGGATATCCGGTTGTTGCAGAACTTCTCTGTATTTCTTTAAGAACATCAATATGTATATCCTTTAAACTGACACCTAAATTTCGACAATAAATCTCAAGGTACTGTATTTAAAGGAGTATTTCTTCAATATCTTATTCATTTGTTCAGTTACAAATTCTTCCGCTTCCGAGTGTCCGGCATTGATTTCCCGCTTCTACATATTTCAGTGCATGATAATTTATTTTTATATTCGAACCTTCTTGCGCATAATATCAACAATATTAGCTAAAATCTTGAATTCTTTCACTGCATCATGAAGAATTATGTTCAGTGCAATCGAGGTAGAGATCTCCATTGATTGTCTACTTCGCTATGTAATTTGCTTATTTTTGGACGTGTTAAGAGTAGTTTTCAGTAATTTAGGTAATACATGAGTCAATAAGAAAGATAATCTGAAATAAATAATCAAGAGGTAAATACTTAGCAACAACTAAGCAAGTACAGGAAAAATAATTTCAGTCAGCCTTCGAACACATAAAAATCATCAATGTTAGAAACATTCATGAAGAAAAATATCTTAAACCTATGACTGGACGCAGTGATTTTCTGAACGAATATCATTCTTGAACATGTTCGATGTTTGTAGTCAGTCGGAAGGAAGTAGCGAACCCAGGTTTCGTGATTTTGGACATCATCAGAAAAGCGTCCGCAGCCGTGAAAAAACTAATTTTCTCTCAGCAGTTTTAACCAACTCTACCCACTACCACACCGAGACCTTTCCGTATGTAAACCTTTTGCATGAACGGACTGTCTTGATCACTGAATGATAATGAAATTTGTAAGTCTTCAACAGTGCTCGAAGCCTGGCGGTCTATTATAACTGACAAGTGAATAGGCATGAGTACTGCTATACCGATAATGTCCAGTTAACTAGTCACTGGATTGTTTAGTCTAAATGAATATTTTAGCTAATGACTATTTCAAAACTCAACTAGTTAGAATATACAGACCAAACTCTTAGCCCACTGACTATATATATGACAATACTCAAGCACCAGAAGATTAATAAAATAGGACAGTCATTATGAGAATATAACCATAGAATTTATGTAGTACATCATTCCAGTTTGATATGACCATGCACGATAATTTGTGATCGATATGCCATTCACTAAATAATACTGCGAGCTATATCAAATCAATAAATATAGTGTATAAATTGGATATTCACTTAAATACAAAATATGACAATGACAAAGTTACAGTTGGACCTCCAAATTAATAGTCAGCCAGCAGTAATAAAGGGGTTGACTTGTGAGGGATAAATTTCTACTAACAGTATCAAGAATGAACTTTTATTCACTCTAACAGGTCGAATTTGCAATCTGATAATTAAGCTAAGTGTATAATACGCTATAAGTAAACTGTCCTCTGAGTTAGTTAGATAGCTTGCATCCAAATGTTTCTTTCTGAATCCAAATACACTTTTTCACTCATTTGTCTAGTGTTTTTGTTTGCTGATAACTGTTTTTGTTGTGTATTACACTTGAATAAACTTATTTTCTCACAGGTGGTAATGATAACAAAAATTTAGAACAATATCGCCACAGTGAACTCAAAATTCACTTGGTCTTTTATATTTACTACTTCTTGGTAAAAATTTTTGAGTAATTTTGTCTATTTCATAAGTGTCTCATCTATTCATTAAGTAAACATCACAGTAAGACCTAGCATCACTATTTAAATGTCCAAGCTATCACAAATCATACAATAAGTCCCAAGTTACGACGCCTTGATTTGTGTATGGTCTAATACACTAGAATAAACATGAGATTAAGTTTTGCTTAATTTTTAACCATGTTCTCAGATTTCCAAGATACTATATTCTACGGTATTCTGGCGTTTCATTTCATTATCCACAGAATTATACAGTTGTCAGTAAAATATAAATGCACAGTATTCAGTCCAAAAATCTTTTTTTTTAATTTTGAGGATCTTCCATTTAGCTTTTGACATTGTCACACTGCATTTGTATTTAACTTTCTTACATTTCTGAAGTTACTCCCATTTTCATTGATTTTTTTCAAATTCCTGAATATATTTAGTATGATAACCATCGAGAAGGGATACCTTTTATTGTTTTATCTCCTTATTTAGATTTTTTGATTCATTCATCAAACCTTCAGCTGAGTTACGAAGATATTTAACTGGATATACCTTAATTAAGTAAAAGTGAGGTTACCTAATGTTTATGAATCTGATAGGTTGTGGTAAATTTCTACATAAAGTAATATTCAAATCGCTACTTTATTTCTGAATTACTTGGCAGTCTAACATGTCTGATTCAGTATGCATATTTTCAACCTATAGGCAAATTACCGTATACCTTCCTCCACGCTTTTAAGTGTTATGTGAAGTAAATAGATCGTCATCAATATTTCCTGAAAGTTTAAAGCCAAATTCAGTGTGCATGTATCGTCTGATGTCTGAAGTTTATATGCGTCCAGATAACTTTCTAAAGCGAACAGCTGCAAACGAATTAAAACAAGTGGGAACCAGCTGTTTCCTTTTTAGATTGCCTACAACCAAAAGGTGAGAGTAGGACGTATATTTGTTCACCAGCTAGATTTACTTGAGCCGGCTTCCATCCCATACTTTCAATCGATCACGCAATACTGGATACTACTGAAATACCCCTAACTCCGCTTCACTTAGAATATTAACCAGATCTGCATAAATACATCAAGCTCACTGAAGAAACCATGAGCTATACGAATCGATGAGCGTGTCTAATGCTCATCTTATTGATGCTACATGGGTCACACCCGAAGTCTCAAATCAAGAACAAGTTGTTCCAAGCACTCTTCTGTTTTGCAATGATGGGTTCCTAGAACAGTGAGAGGAGTAGATCTTTACGCTACTTCTCTCTTAGCTTATTAAGTCATAACTAAGAATTTTACTACCCAGGATAGATTTATAAGATTACCTAAGGCTGCAAGATGTTTGCTGTGGCGATACATGGGAAGCCTTCTACATACTGTCATTATGCCAGTCTTTATTCAGATAATGCTGGCGGCTCTCTCAAACGAGACCACTTAATGCTTTGATCCTAGGGTATATAAATCTTGCTGAAATCAATTTTCTAGAATACACAAAGAGATGAAACGATTATTCCTCTCAGAATTGATTATTTATTCTTGTAGAAGAACTGGGACAAACCATAAATATGAAGGTTGCCACTTTGAGAAATTTTAAAAAATTCCATTTCGTTTTCACTGCGTCCTCACAAATGACTAATTCTGGGTGGACAAACTCATAACCCTAGTTTCACTAGGTATAAATGATCATACTACAATGGTGTTCCAGTAAGTTCATTAAGCGGGGCTGATTCATCCTCTCAATCAACGTCACCGAAACCTCAGACGACTTAAAGCTGTAGCCATTTAGAAGGGTTTGAAAGAGATAGATTGGGAAACTTCTGAGGAGCGGTGGGATATAAATACTCACAGAATATTCGTATCTGACAAATCATGTATCCTACACTCTTAACTCCAAAATATCACCAACCCAACATAGTAAGCAACCACACCCTTAGGCTTCTGAAGTTAGAAAGACACTACTGAACTAAACCAGCCATCAGTTTACTCATAAACAGTCCAGGCAAAAAGTTCTTGCAGTTGGGCATTGAAAGATAAAACAGGCGGTACCAATCCCAGAGCACTAATATATATGCGTGTCTAATCCAACAAACCTTTTTGGTACGGAGCATCATTTCTCTAAGCAAAGGCGAGAGTCTTTCCTTTGAAGGACCTCACTGCATCTATCAGTAGTGACACTAGGGTGCCAGAACTTTTGATGCATTCCTACTTGAAAAACTCGCTGCTGGTTGCACCTGGAAATAATTGTGGGTGCCCAGAGGCAAAAGGATGACTTTCAACCATGAATCCGAGTGCCCATCGAATACACTGTAAGCTGATGATCTCAAGAAAGTCCACATCTCTGAGTTCAGATAAAATCAGGAAAGAAACTCGTTTCTCACTGAACCCCTCAACAGATTATTCACTCATCCCCTTAAGCAGGCAACACTGCCTGAACTTTGGTAATTGTGTCTTGTCACACTGATCTTCAAAGGAAGTCGATGAAGCAACCCAACAAACTACAGGCTTGTGACTCCTTTATTTGCGCTCTCTTACGCTATAGAGCCGCTAATCTATGGTGCTTTATGCAATTATCTGATACCCATTAAATTCTCCACACTCCCTTGATATTTTTTAGAAAATGACATTCATGTGTCACTAACATATTAACTGCAGTTAGTGGACAAGTATTACTGATCTTCAGGGTAGAAGGTATGTTATATGCCTAGATTTTCTAAGACTTTTGATTTCAACAAGTCGAGGTCAATAGAAATCAGTTCATCACTAATCGACTGCATATCACTCTGTCTAAGTGACTGCTCTCTTTTATATGTAAGAGACTACCCGTTCGAGATATTTTCGCACAAATTTATATCACCAAACATGGGCAGATACATTTCATGTACATTTACTCAATTTATAGATCATCTTGTTATGGTTTCGGAGATGGAGGGCGAAGGGAGTGCAATGCAGTAATTAACTATCATCTTTATCCGACTATACTGAACCTGAAAGTCAGAAAAGAATTAACCGATTTGCTGTACGAAATATTTAAAAATATTTACTAGACATGCGGTAACGCCGAAGGTAAGTGAAGACAAAACTATCCATCTAGACTACTATAAGTTTTGAACTTCCATCTCAGTACACCAGAAATCCGAAAGCCTATCAGTGTTCCCTGTACAGTCATGTAAAATGTATGTGTTATGCTTCCTTGTTCGATAACTCTACCCAGTGAATCGTCAACCAGATTCTCCCAGTTACCCTTTCAGGTTCATACAAATAAAGTTACTAAGAAGTACCTAAAGGGTGAAAGTTCGAACAGTTGCTGTTGACTGTGTGGTTGAATGGCATCGATAAATGATATGTCTTAAAGTTGTGTGACTTATTTGTTTTCAGCCTTTTTCAATGAACGTTTCGCAAGCTACAGAGTTCCAGAAATACTCTAGTAGAAACCATCAACCTGCAGAAGGTAGGCGGCTTCACGGGTACCTCCAAAAAACTAAAATCTCATGAAGGTGGCAGCAGCCTTCTATTTTCATAGCCCATAACTACACCAAAGCAATCTATCAAGAAATTTCCCATTCCAAAACAGACAATTTGCGAGGGCTACCCTATCTTCCCCAGTGTTCAGGTATAATTTGCAAGTACCACAGGCACAACATGATGATAAGGTCACTGCCGATAAAGTTGTAACCAGCATTGAAAAGTGGTTTCACAGCGGCTATAACGGACTCAAGAAACCGCAGTGCCAGGTTATGGTAGGCTTCCATTTCATCCTGATAATAATACCATAGTTCGTGGGTTTGGGTCGTACAGATTGACTAATAAAATCATCATAGAACCTCGCATACAAGTTCATCTACTCAAGATGCCACACTGCACAGTAGTACAACAGGTTGATAGAAAAGACTCACATCAAAGTAGAAGAAATTGTATGGGGGAACAAACAATTTGATAATAACGGTTAGTGCGAATATTTAAGCTTTAGATATTGAGGAGTGAATACGTCTGCGCCATTGTGACCGATTTTCAGGCATGTAACTAGGAGTTCTCATCCACTTATTCCTACCGTCTCAGGGACCCCAGCCAAGCAGTCTACATCTCCACAGACTAAAGTCAGGGACTTCACGGACTTGTACCACGTCTCAATCTGGTTACCCTAAACCCTGTTTTAGCCTAATCCAACTCCTATCATAACAAGCCTAGGTTTGTGGTGGCTTGGCGTGCACAGTATACGGCTCAACCACCTCAGTAGACTCAGGTTCACAACCTCATCAGTCGACTTGCCTGTTTTGCCTAGTACTCTTAATCTAACTACAACATTGCTCACATGGTGATCCCATCAAACTTGAGCAATGCTACAAAGACATCTGCGATCAAAACCCTACAATCGATTTATGTCTTCTACTTTCAACGGCCATGTCTAACAGACGTACAACACGGCAGAACGGACTGAAGTGGAGTATACTCGTACTATGATAAATAGTCGGACATCTCACTATTTGCCATCACAGGTGACACAAGTTAGCAAATCCAAAACGGACCTTCTGTATCTCAGCTGATACCCAGCAGGACAATATAGTCTGCATACTCCAAGTCAACCATATGACCTCCAGGTAGAAGTCATATGTATATAGGGTTCTATGCACTAGTACGTCTATGACAAAGTTGAGTAGGAACAGTAACAGTGGGCGCCCCGTGACTTTGGGAACGTTTAGGCATAAGTTTAGGTGACCTTTAAGAGTTTTAAAACATTCAAGAAAAATGTTTTCCTCGAAAATATTCTTGAGTTTGTCAGGAAGTTGTATGCTAATTCTTTCGCCGCAGAATTCTACTCTAAATACCCAATGTTTGCTTGCTGGGAATACAAGCCTAGTTGAACATTTCCACCGAGCCAAATGGGGCGATCTATCCCAAGTGCTGAGTGGTGAATTTGACCTGTGGTTGAAAGTAGAGGACTTATAATTAAACTTCGTGCAACCGACTACGTTGGGCGAAAGGTCGGACCAATGGGATCGGATGCAAGAAGATTATAGAAAATGTCAGGTGTCACAGTCGGACAATCCCAAAAACTGGGTGCTAAATCCAAGGTGTGGAAACATCAGCCTATGACTGCAGGAAATCTGCGAACCTATTATCAGTTTCCATAGTTAACCCGAAGTTTCCATATTGAGTGGCACAACACAGCCTTGACTATTTCGACGAAAAAATCCCAGCCAGCACTTGCTTTGGGTGTACATTGTAAGTTTTGGGCAAAAACCCGAAAATTTTACTTCGGCGCAGATTGGGAGACGCACGATATTCCTTGAAGTTCCTAAACATTTCCCCAAAACTGTCAAAAGTTTCAAAGCAGGCCCAAATTGTATGCGATGTGCTCGAAGTCCACTAAATGTAGGCAATGTGTCCTAAGTTCTGGAATAACCTGTATTCACAGTTCTGAGAAGCCATATTTGGTAACATTCGTATATATATCGTTCACGTTTAATTGCCGCATGTGCTTGTGTAGTACAAATCAATGAAATGGAAACGGCCGACGTAACTAGTTGAATAATTTAGGGGACACTAGAAATTTGGTAAGTGCGCCCGAAGTTGCTTCGGGTTAAAACCCAAAAGTCCCAAGGTACGCCCGAAGTAAATGCTGGCTGGGATCTGTTGAGCAGTTCATCATAAAAAGCCTCAGGTCAAATGTAGGAACTAACAGGGTGTTTGCCAACGTTTAAACTACTCTTGTTTCAGTGTTTCCAGGACGTGAGCATATAAATACACTTCCCCACAAATCTAGATATATGAAGTCTACTGACACTCCCGATCTGACCAAACAGCATAAAATTCTGCTCTGGACACACCTGAATAAAATTGATTCATAGAAAATAACTAATTTAAGGATCTAAATAAAATAACCTGTTTACTAACCATATTACTGACCAGTGAGTGGATTACCTACTCAAAAGTTCGCGGATAACCTATGACAACGAATATTAGCAATAACATTCTGTTAACAAAAAATACCTCAGTATCCAGCATCTTAGATAACAGTTAGTGCAAATGGTCTGATGAGTTCTGATTTATTTGTTTTTTGATGAGAAGCCGTTTCATGTATTTGGTTAATCTTAACACTAACGTGAAACCCTTTCATATAATAACCTGCACGCTTGCTACTCATTTGATAAATAAGGGCCTCAGTACCAATGCCCCCAAATCGTTGGCAAGGCTTTCTTCTACGGAGTATCACCAGCCTCAGAGGGTCCCCAAAGTGACCCGAAAAACTGACAACTGAAGCTTGCGGGTTATCTGCGAAAGGTGAGACGGATGGTGGTCTGCATTCTCATGAGTAGGGAGGGGGATTGCATCCAAAGAGATGGGAAACAGCCTTCATCTTCAGTCATTAGCGCCTTTCACGTTAATCAGGGTGGTTTTTCCTCACCGACTGGTTGTTAAAAGCATGATCTCATTGAATGGGAGGTTGCATGTAAGCTTTTAGGAATCTCACCCTGTTGTCCAACCCTAAGACGCTCAGCCCGAGTAAATTTTCTCCTAACGGTTCTCTCCTTTTGCAGGCTTCCCCAGATAATACTCTCCAAAATAAAAATCCACTCGAAAGGTTATCAGTCAGTCAAGCAAAACTGTCAGTTATTAAGAGCAGGCTTCAAAGACCAAAGTCTGCGAGGGAACTGCTCCGCAATCGCAGAAAAATGCGCTCCGGTGACATATGCTGTTTGTTCACCGCAAGTAGAATTCACTAGTGTGTTAGCACTGAGAGTGGTGACTTTTTTCACGAAATGGGTCAGTAGAGGTATTTAGCAAATAAACTACAAACTGATGTGACGGCAAAATTTCTCCCTCTTCCAAGGCCGGCTCACCTCTCAAACATCCTTGATTGTTCTGGGTTACTCTTGGCTGCCTGGACACAGTCAAAATAACCCTGGATTCGTAGCATGACATCAAATGCTTTCTCTAGGGGTATCAAAACAAACAGGTGTAAACTTAGGAGAGTGAGGCGGACGGCCGCTACATGCCTGACAATTGAATGGCTACATGGTGAGCGAGAATTCGTCTCTTCGGTATCTCAGGGCCAAGGATCCTGCACGACGGGAACGGCGGGATCAAGGACTCGTGCACGCCTGACGGAGCTGTCCCTTCAAAGGCTCGCAACACAAGTGAGCAGGCTCACTCAGTGGCCGGGATTGTAGCTATGCGTACTCTCACTCACTGTATCCACCTCAGCGCCTCAGGTTTGTACTCAAAGACATCCAAGTTGAGGCAACTGGTTGGGGCGGATCGTCCAAGATTGGTGGATATCTGTGTAGCATGCCTCACAGATGGCAGAAAAGATGGCGAAATTCTTGGTAAGCCCAACTGAATTGATAAGGATAGGTCTGAGTTTTCCTAGGCCTTTGACAAGATTATTCACTATAACCTGTGTAAGGAACCTCAGCTCACCGGGGTACGCAGTGGGTTACTCAGTTGGTTTCGGGATCATCTTAACAGCCAGTTAAGATCAGTCGAAGTGGGCCTCTCGTCTGATGGCTTCCTACTCTGGTCCACTATTGTTCCTCGCTTTTATAAATTGCAAGCTTAAATTCCTACCCACCACTGTATGCTGGTGATCTGAAGGTTTGGTTGGAGATACAGGCTGCGATCGATACCTCGGAACTTCTTACAATTGAGTCCTCTCAGGCTGAAAAAGTTTACGATAATGACTGTTGATAAATATAGGTGTAATTTCAGTTCTTACCCCTAGGGGGAAACTACATCTCCCACTCAAACGCTAAAAACGAACTAGGGGTCACCCTAAGTTAGACACCTTGCAACCAGCCAGGCATATTAGGCAGTGGGGGGTTCCTCCTTGGTGTTCTGAGGAGTCTAACTGCCGCCCTTTTAACCACAGCATACTGACCACCTATTCTTCCTTATCCAGTTATTTCCGCATTCTCGAAAAGCGAAACTGCCATCCTGGAGCCGGTTAACAGAACAGCCACGAGGAACGTGATCAGGCTGTGGTAGAAACCTTGACTGGGACCCTGAGTTCCCCCTAGGCCACATCGAGTACAGCACAGGAGGATGGAAAGGGCTGTGATTATGGAGCATCATATCGCCCATAATTCTCTCCATCCCAAATGATTGCTCTTAAGCCTCAACCAGAAACATGAACTTGGGGGTCACACTTTTAGATAGGAGCATGGTACGTCGTGTTCAATGGTCCCCACTAACTCGTTTACAGTTAGAGCGTGCTTACTGTGTTACTCCCCCTCGAAAAAGTCGCATCCACCTCCCTTGATGCGCTCAAAATTAGGTTGTGTGCACATGTAGAGTCATATGGTATGCATGTACTGTACTCGAGAAACTACCCACTCGCTTACAAATCATGGACGGCGGCTCTACCCATAGCATAGTGATTAATTAACTAATTCATTGGTAACCCCTTTCCCTTCAAGTTTCTTTGGACTTTGAGAACAAGTGACCACTCCAAATGTAGAACACATTTTATTAAGACGAACTTAGAATCCAGGAGCCTCTGGTAACCATTTCTCCAGAATCCGCTTAAACCCCAGTTAGATCAGATTGGAGAAATCCAAGGAAACACACTCTGGGAACTTTAGAAGGAAAAAAACGCAACCCCTCCAAAGGATAGAGAAAATGTTTGTTTGTTGGAAGTATTCGCAGAATACATGGACGAAATAAAATCTAATCACGCTATTATAAGCGTAAAAAGACATTAAAGGTGGGCCTATACCATGACATTTGTTTTGCTCACCTCCCACGTCGCTGTTCCCTGCCACTTATATTCCGGACCTTGTTACGCAAGCGAGTCACACTGCTGTCCCTCGGTTCTCATGCTTTTATGTCCACATGACACCAAATACATGTATACCGGTACCAAAAAGCGTAGCCTGTTCTAAGAAAGTGCAACATTGGTTCATCACTAAAATAGATGTACGGGTAAAGATTTCACCGGTGCCACTCAAATGTACTGTTTGGGTGCTTACCTGTGCTCCAAGTCACATGTATCCTATCCATCATAAGGATATTCGAGTGATATCCATCGGCAGCAATCTTATCCGTGTTCAGCTGACCGCAGTGGTTTCATTCATACTGCCTAACTAGCAGAAAAGGTCATGCACTATTGCAACTTTTCTGTTCACTGAAGTGTAGACAAAACTCTGACAGGGTGTGAACGGCCGAAAACCGCGTGCCACTGACTGAAACATGTCATCACGTAGGCCACGTTTATGATCAGAGTAATTAATTCTGACGTGGACTGATCACTGAAACTCCGAGAATTCCGCCTAAGATTACCGGCAGGCGTCGGAGTAGTCTTCGTAGGATTGTGAAAGTGTCCAGAGAGCGTTAAACAAAGGAATTTTTGGCCATATAGGACTCACGTTGACATGGCTGCAGCGTGTCGACTTGTATAGCGTTGGCCCACAAGCCGACTCCGGTGGGTTATCTGCCTCTAAGATTCAAGTCAGCAGCTACTACTGGCTAAGGTAGGAAAATGAGCCCCTATTTCAAAGATGTTTTTATGACGGAGATGTTTAGAGGTGCCAGGAAGCACAGTGACTCCAGTGAACACCTCCAAGAACTTACTTCAGAGTCGATAAATGAAGAGAAGTTTTACAACCAACGTATGTTAAGTCTATCGGGGTAGAGCTAGTCACGGTACTATGTGACACACCTGGAAGATCATTTTCGAAGTATGTAGCCAGTCATAACTTGACCGTACGCTGTGGTTGGTATTGGCAGCAGAATGACTTATGCAAACGGTGGTCATCATCAGTGGGCGTATGCCACCCTCCGTAAAGAAGCTCAAGGTGTGCATCCCCGGCCGGGTCTAGAAAAGTGCCGACTGACATAGCCTTTCATTGCTTCCAGACTCCATGCACCTACTTTATTTCAGTGTTATCCGGGAACTCATCAGTCTCAAGCTAGGACTTTTACGGGGAGGGAAGAAGAGAGCGGACAAGAAAGCCGCGCTTGCTATAGACGGGGGATTGATAAGTAGGGAGATACTACGCCCGCAGATTTCCAGGGCAAGCGTTGCCTTTTAATCAACGCGTCTACATGGAAGGCAAAAGGGTGCAAACTATTTCTGTTTTATTTGAAGCTGGTAGTCCCGAAAGAAGTGCCGCGAACGTCTCTGCCTGTCATTTCCATGTCACTATCCCTGAGCACCTATTCGCTATCCCATTCAGAAGTTCGTAAACAATACTCTGAATTCGCAAAACATTATTCCGCAGAACCTCTTTGCATAGTACAGGGAAATGTAGGGAAGGGAACATTGCCTGTGTTTTGATTTCGTTCTTAGTACTTACTACACCTGAGACTCAACGGTGGATAACCAACCCTTTATAGACAACACTTGAGTTTCAAAGCCGTTTGTAAGGAAGTTAATTTACCTGACAAGTAGCATCCTAGGCGATGGATTTTTAAGAAGACTCCACATGGTGACCCATTTTATTTTGTTTTTGAACAATCTTTAAGCAGCCGGCATATAAGTATGCACCAGAAGTCAGTTCACCTGTAGCTAAGTGAAGTTGCAAACTGTGGCGTAGCGGGAAAGCACTTTACCCCCTGAATGATGAAGTGCAACTAGACTTCAAGAATGCGTTTACCAGGTAATGCTGCAACGTATCCCGTTTCCGTTATGGCCAGTCCTCCCGGTGTTTCCGCTCGTACTAAATTCAAGCTATTCGGCATCCTCTCAGTCAAGATTGGCCATATCTTTCCTTTTCCCCATTTATTAGATAGCGTCGACCTCAAAACATGGGCGTCCTGCGAGGCCCAACAGTTTTGACGAAGAGGATGACGTGGTCAGAAATGATTACGGTTGCCCACAGCCATAAGATACTACTGACCGTCTAACGAGGTCAAGAAGTACACTCTTGGGTGTCACTTGCAGCACCTGCGTGAGGCACGCTTCCAGCGAGCGCAACAGGCACCAGAGGCATACACGGGCA